GTCAGGATTCGCTCGTGAAAGAAACCATTCCATCTTTTTTTTCTTAATTCTTTAATTATTAAATGGATTATGTTGTTGTAAAATTATTTCAGTATAACTAATATTATCGAAATAACTCAACATAATTAATCATAACGTATTTCAATTTTTTAATACTGTTTATTGTAGACATTGAACAGAGAATATTTATTTATTTCTCTTTTGCACCTCTTTTTCAGGTTTCACTAGTACTAATAAGTAAGGTTGAACGCCTCCTAGAATTGAGCAAACAAGCTTCTGCGAGTACGATACATTATACAACATTCTGGTCTGTTTTCAATTAACAGATAATGAAGTGTTACTTAAAGATGGTCTTACACGCTTTTGAATGTTACATGTATATAATTTTGCATTTACTAGTGTTATTGTCTATGTATCTATTAGTTACAGTTGCATACTAAATGAGAGATCGTCCTCTTTGATTTTCTGCATGTGAAAATAATTCTGCGTTAACATGTATCTTTACTTTGTTCTCTCAGGATGATGATGATGCGGGATTTTAACGACCTTGACTGGCTATACAGCCCTCGCACGTCTGGGCAGCATATGACACTCACCCATCCACAATGGGTTTCAGAGTGTCGCTGACGCGGGTTTACTGTACGGGAGCCTCATAAACTAGTTTGTCGTTGAACCATCTGAGTAGCACAACATGTTGTAGCAAATGGGTAATCTGGAGCTGATCCAGCACGTCCTTTCAGCTGTAAGGACTGAGACGTGACTGAAAGATGTGATATGATCTGCTCTCATGAGATCCTCGCTTACCGTTATATTAATTTATGATAAGAAGAGTCAATGGACCCGTATGTATTTAGGGAATGCCACGCTCCATTTGTACTCTAAAAAAAAACTTTCGTATATTTCACGTTTCAGAGTCCTGCATGTATATAGAATTTTACCTAGAACTCAGAAAGATGATACCAGTGCGGGTTATACTTAAACCTCGTAATTCTAGATGTCAGGTAACTTACTTGTGTTTGTGTTGGATTGCTGTCTGATTGACGCATACCCGCCATTTTATATTTTTTTTTTTTTTGTTTAGGGGTGCATCCAGTTCATTAGAACATTAAAACATTAAAAATATATTAACGTTAAGTAACCTTAAAAGATTCGTTACTTCAATATTTTGTTTTTAGGGAAAACGAAACTTCTTCTCGCATGTCGCACTTTGGGTAATTGTTAACCTTGTTCTCTTTTGCAAAATATGGCCTTGAATTTCAATTTTGTGAAAATATAATAAAGCCACAAAATGGTTCCTAAATGGATATTTTTCAAAACCCCAAAAGCTAGATAAAACTAATCTCTTGATATAGGCTCCAAAATCAGCACGTTTTACACATTTTTGAAAATACGATGGTTTTATGCATTGTTCGAACATAAAACATGACCAAATATAACTAAATAAACTAAAAATAAGATAAACAAATGTATTCTTGTCAGATCAAAATACCTTTAATATGCAAGTGCATTGATACAGATTATATTCTACTGAATTTACTATATCGATAATATAACATTCGTTAGTATTACGTAATATATATATATAAGTCCTGTGTCCAGGTGAGAAGTAACAACAGGTGGTATGTATACTAAAATGTTTATCGTCTTCCATTATACATGAGGGTGTGGATGGGAGTTTACAGAATAGAGAATAATTGACAAAAATATAAAGAATAGAGAAAATGACCAAACAAATAAAGAATAGAGAATGATGAAGTACTAAAATATAAGGAATAAAGATATATAATGGGCAAAAAGTCTGAAGAATAGAGAAAAATGGCCTAAAAATAAAAGAATACAGAAATAAAGATCCCCATCTACCCCCTCATGCATCTGCCGATGACATTTAGCTTCAGGGCAATCATGGGCATACGATACAGTTTTGATCCCATGGTGATTTTTTTACGAAAGTTTGCATACAAGCTATTTTTTACCAAATCAATTTGAATATGTAATAAAAAATATATCTTCATGTGCTAAATATAATAGATAAATGGGTTCGAAATTTTCGACATTTACTTAAAATTTCGGTTTCTTGGACATTTCTGTCCTTTGAACAGACATCCTTTTTTTTTGTTTCAATAAAATAAACATATGCGGATTTCGGTAAAGAGATTTGGAATATCTTCGTTACAAAATTAGGCTCTACAATTGTGTAACAATTCTTTGTTAATAATTCATTTTTATTAAAAGAAATTGATCTAAAAAAAACGTCGGTCATTTCTTCGTAAAAGTTACCAGGCTGAAGCTAGCGAACAATAACTACCGAACAATTAAAAGTTGGAACGAATAATCTTCATACAGTATCAAGCCAAATGTCATTTTAAAAAAGAGGAGTCAATGTGCTCGTTTTTAAGCTTATGGTAAAAATCACTCGAAAAAATGCACATTTTCCCGATATTTCGCAGTTTGACGTCGCGAAAAATAACATTTTATGTTAGCAATTAAGTGTCGAACGAATTCTACAATATATAATATTCTGTTAAAAATCATTTTATAGATAAACATTATCATCTCCCGGTTACGCTTGACCGCAGAGATAACACGTATTCGTTGATAAAAAGACTTACCGTGGCGACAACATCGGCGCGTGCCAACTAATTAAATAGTAATTATACCAATATATAAAAGAATCAATAGTTATTGGATTTTTTTATATCAAATACGGAAACATTATGTAGTATTAAAGTAATAATACACAATGACATGACATGATAAAATTTAGATTGAACAAATTCTTGTTCAGATCCAGGGACACAGATGTCCAAATTATTTAGTATACACCAAATTCTGAAATAATATTAAATGAAATGGCCATCTAAGACGTTTTGCTTATCTAAGAGGTTTTTTTTTGTCTCTTAGGGGTATTTTCTATGGGCCGGGAAATTCTCAAAATTTCATTATCCCGTCAAAAACACTAAAAACGTCCTAAGTTATAATGTGAATTTGTAAAAAAGTATTATCTGCAATGTTGCATTCACAATGCACGCTTTTTTTATATATATATTTATATTTCTTTTCTCTTCCAAGTTATTCTTTAATGTTTACTGCTACTTATATATATTTCCAAACACTTTGATAAATCAATGAATGGTTAAAATGTATAAATGTTATAAAGTTATTTTTTTCGACAACACAATAATTATTTGATTATTCAATCTTTAAACATGTAAATGCATATAAGGCATTCCTTGGATATGTGTTAGGTGATTCATTGATGTTTGCGTAATGTCCAGTGGCAAATATTTCATACATTTCTGGACGAAAATAATTTAGGTAAGGTTACAAATTAATGCGGATCCAGGGGGGACATATGGATGAACCCACACCCTTTTATCCTGGGTTGAGAACCCTCTTTTAAAAATGGCCGGATCCGCCCCTCTTTAAAATGTAACAATTCATAAATAAATTATTTATCTTATCTAATATTCAGTTAAATTATAAAAATCGATGAGTTTTATAATTTGACAACACTTATCTCATTAATATTGGAAAGACACTAAAAATATACGACAATTAATCTATGTACGACATCGAATGTTTAGTAAGTTTAGTAAAATTGCCGACCAATCAACACTGAAAGCGCGATATCTTAAATTTGTATATCCTTATACAATTTAATTATCATATGTCAATTTTAAATCCCATTCTAAATAAAATGGCTTTTCGAATCGTGTGTTAAGTGCTTATCGTTCATTCGTCAATGAAGCATTCACCGTGCGTGTATCGTGCGTTCATCATTCATCATTCACAGTGCGTGTATCGTGGGTTCATCATTCATGATCATTCATTTTTCGTTAATCCTCCGTGTTACGCTCATCGCTCATGGATCGTCCATTCACCATGCATTCAGTTGGTCCAGTGTATATCTTAAGGTGGTACCTAACACTACAGGGAGATAACTCTGTAAAAATCAGCTAAACGTTTTAATTACGTTGTATTGTTAAGGAAATATTAAGCTTCTCAATGATCAAAAGTAGTGTTTGTTAAACTGCTATATAACCAATGAAATTTTTCCGATTAAGTGGTTGGTTCAAATTTTTAGAAATTTTTATATTTTTGTCAAAAGGTCAAAGTAAACATTTTGTCAAAATTTTATGAAAATTAAACGAGCCAAATTAATGTTAGTCAAGGTGTTGGGTACCACCTTATTCGAAATTAAAGGATATATGGGTATACTTGAACGTCAATGACACGAATGCTATCTTGGTTTAAACAAACAAATATTTGGGAGATTGTAGGGCCAAGTGGTACATATTTAAAAAGTGTTGTAGTTGTTATGTGTCACGTATAAATATCTTAACTGCGTCTGATTTACAACGTTTTGACACATTCAAAATTTTAGCTTGACTGATTTCGATAGCTGTAAAACTTTTGTGTTGTCAACAAAGTTCACCATCTATAAAATAAGGATTTGTTATCAATGTGATGTGTTTACTTTTCATCTTGAGGAACACAAATCATTGTTCCCATCATTTCAATCTTCCGGTTGTTTAGTCGATAGTCTTGCCTATGTTTATTTTGTGAATTTTAGTGTGGTATCGTATTATAGTTGTCAGCTACACCACTTTTTCTTTGATTTCTAAGATTCATACAATAAGAAATAATATAAAAATAAAAAAAGTTATTACATAATGAAATTAACTGCAAGAAGCTGTGTCTTCTTTTAAGTTATTTTCCCTTCCAATTTAAAATGCATGATAAATTAGATATCCGAATATGAATATTTGCAACCATAAGGTTATTTGTTTATCGAACCATTCATTTAATTTGAATAATTTTCATTGCACTCTCAAATGTTTTGCAGAGTACGAATCAATTAATTATTCTGTGTAAATTATATTTTTAGTAGGAATAAAACATGAAATGAAGTATATTTCTGAGAAATACAATACAAAGGCAGATTTACAAATATAATAAACAATATTTTAAATTTTCATAATACGATTTAGGTTCTTATGTTTTAAATCTCTTTCTTAGAAAAAGTGTATGTGGAAATTCTATATAACTGTTCATGTCATTCCAAAGCTTCTTTGATTTTCATCCAGAACACATCATTCCCAAAGTGGTCACGTGGATATTCTATAAACGATTCAGACTGCACCAGTTCCAACATCACCAAAGGTAAATCCTTTACAGCTATTGGTTGATATAAAATCATCATTAATACCTTGTCTCCATGGCGGGAGTAAGTAGTTTCCATTCTCGCCATGTTGAATTCAAACATACACCAGTAAGATGTTAAGAAGTTCTCAGTCATCACAACAATCGTTTTCCTGCTGTTATGAATGGCATTTGTGATATTACCAGCAATATCTTGTCCTGGCGTGAAGTCCCTCTTGTGAAGGCACAATTTTATAGAGAATTTATCTTCAAGATTTTTTATCATTTCATCATGAACGAACATTTGATCTTCGTCAGCGTATGAAATAAATGCATCGTACAAATAATCGGTTTCATCGCGATCCTGTTGCAGTTGATAGCCTCGATATTTTTGTTTTGTCATGTAATATAAATACCGCAGTTTCCATCGATATCTGTACATCACTCCGAAGAAAAGTATTATTATAAAAATGATAATGGCGACTGAAACCCCGGCAATTACATATCCATATGATGAACATTCCTTCTCTAAATGTTGGTAGACTAACCTTGGTTGACTAAGCAGGATCTTTGTACTGTCTTCTTGTAGACATTCGTACTGATGACGTCTTAGCAAGTGGACGTCAGTTTCAGATATCCATTTGATAAAATCTATAGTTTTACAGTTGCATGCCAGTGGATTGTTACTTAGATCAAGGGTGAGATTATTCTTTCTATTTGTGTCGTCTAAATCCTTCATAGTACTCACACCAAGCGAGGATATGTGGTTGGTCGAGAGATCAATTTTAGTTAATTTATTCATATGAGCAATGTCAAATAAGATATCAGATAGGTAATTGTCTCTTAAGTCTAAAGTTTTTAAGGCGACTTGTGATTTAAAAAAGTCCCTTGGTATAGTAGCGATCCTGTTTTGCGCCAAATTGAGTTTTGTCAGCAATTTTAATGCTGACAATATATTTCCTTTCTCGTCAAACGGTATAATGAAGCCTAATAAATTGTCACCAATCAGTAAGGTTTCAATGCTAATGCAATCTTGGAAAAAGAAATCGCTTATATTTGAACAAAAGTTAGACGATAAATCTAAATACCTAAGTGTTTTGATATTGATAACCGGTCCTATCCATGCTGTCACTAAATTCTCACTACCGTCAACATGTACCAAACTATTATTCATAAGTGTACATCTTGGAACGGTAAATCGGAGTAATGATCTCTTGATGTAAAAAAATTTGAAATTTCTTGGAAAAGGAATGTGAACATTTACTTCGTATCCATTATTTAGGACTGTGTCGATGTAGTTTTGGACAAAATCAGATGTTCCCTGAACGGCTGAGGATAACTGACGTTTGTTGATGTGTCCAGTTGGAATGTCATGAGTTGAAAAGAGATTTGACACGTTCAGAACGCTGATGTTCATAGCTAAAGTCTCGTATAAATAGTTTCCGAATGAGAAATCGTTGTCTGCAGCCGAGATTTTATCAAGAGATGGCGGGAAATTTGCCAGAACCCCAATAGCTACTTGTTGTATTCTGTTACTATCAACATGCAGTTCTACCAGCGATGTATTCCGAAGATACTTTCCAAACTCGTATGGTACCATGGTATTCATGTGGAAAGTTTCGTGAATTTTATTCAGTTTTAATATTCTAATGGAGGTGAATTGTAAATCTTGCAATAATCCTAAGACTCCTTTAAAACGTAGTTTTTTGTTATAAGAAAAATCAACATACTGCAATTTGGATAAATGTCGGAAAGTTCCGTTACGTATTTCTTTTATTTGGCATTCTAAAATCTCGATCCTTTTCAAATTAGGAACATTGATAAATGCATTTACATCAAGAGATTTGGTGACACATATACCAGAAAGATTGGAGATTTTCAGTGAAGTAAGATTTGTAAGGTTTCCGAGTTTGACCGAGAGATTTTTGTCTTCTACGCCATCCATTGTTAAGTTACCTAAATTAATAAGGTCATTTAGTTTTGGGAAGATCTGGCCAGCACTGTAAAATCCGACATTATTCTCAATATTTAATACTTGTAGAGATTTCAGTTGTGAAAAGCAGGCATCCTGAAAGGTGTTTTTTTTGTAAACCAATATATTACTTTTTAGATTTAAATGTTGGAGAGAACTAAGCCCATTGAACGATCCATTACGTAGAATATCTATTTTGTTATTGGATAAATCTAAAATGATCAATGAACTTGAATTTTGAAAAATATTTTCTGGAATGTCATGAATTTTGTTATAGCTAAGGTCAAGTTTCCGTACTGATGAATCAACCAATGGAATGTAAGATAAATTTTTATGAGAGCAGTCGGCTGTAACTCCCGATTCCGACCCTGTTTGGTTGTAACAGTTGCAATTTGGCTCAAATGGACATGGTATAAAAGATAGGTGGTCGTTAGTAATGCTTCCTCCTGTAGACATGTACACGTGATGTATGTGGCATATTAGATAAACCATTCTCAAAAACATCTCTATCTGAAACGAGTCACAAAAATATTTTTAAGTCATAATCAATATTATATTACAACAGTATGGCTGTCTTAAATCGTAGATAAAGTTATCTCAAAATACATTTCAAGAAATTCAGCGGACAAATTATTTAGTTTTTTATTTTTAAGTAAATTTGTCTGTCATTAAAATAAATGTTCGATTCTTCGTTATTTTACGATTTAATGAATCATGTAAATATTGTCCATGCCTTCATTTTGATTTTTATGCATTTTTGTTTTTGAACAAGGTATTAAATAAAACTGGAAATCAACATCAAGTTTAGAAAACATGAAAAGGTTTAGTCATACTATCAATTGTTTGCAATTTATTTCTTAAGGTAAGTTATAATGCACAATATGTCTTTAAATCATAATAAATAGGTTGAATTTGAAAAAAATCAACTAAAAGGAAAAAAATGATATTTACATCAAATTAAAAAATAATCTAACTAACATCATGAAATTAAGCGGTAAGAAGAAATGGAGGTTTTCTAAACTTGATGTTGATTTCCAGTTATATTTAATACCTTGTTTTTGGTGAACCATCACCCCTATCATATTACTATAAGGACAAGAACACCTTCACCTATCTACAACCCAAACCATCACCTGCAATAGAAAAATGAAAAAAAGGTGCCGGAGAGACGGAGAATTTTGACTGCAAAAAGAGGAAATATTCATATATCCCTAAAGCAAAACGCATGCTTACGTTGAGAGCCTTATGTATAAATAAATTGTGTTTTCTTTTCTCTCTGATTTTCACGGTACGAGGTTTCTTTTCATATGACTTTCCAGGGTAAAAGATACACAAAATGAGACGTTATTAAGTCAAGATTGGTGTATGCAACGTACGGTATACCCTTTGCCTTAAAAATAAACATGATATGAAATAAATATTTTCATCGAAATGTTTTCGAAATTGATAAATAAAAAATGTGGCACAGTTCCTCCCAATAAATTTTTTTTTTAGATCAACAGCTGTTAATGCAATAATTATTCTTTTTTTCCATAGATACGTCAAGTTTTCTTTTATTGAAATCGAAATATACTGTATTACTGACATACTCACTTGATAAAGATATCACTGGCTGGCCAGTACGCGGTCAAATTATTCCAAAACGAAAATCATTCTTCCTTGTGCCGAAGCAGAGGGTGATGTATAAATATCGGAAATCCACATTTCACTTGACATTAGATTTATTACTAAAACGGGTAACAATATTGATACCATCAGAAAAATAATCACGGGTCAAGGTTCCTCACTGTATACGGAAGTTTACTCTCGCTAAGGAATCTACTATGCAATAACCTAAGTATAAGATAAAATGGTTTTTAAATATATTGATCTATTTTAGTATGTATAACTCATGAAACTACAACTCTAATAACAAAAAATTGATCAGGTTTATTTCTCAAAAGATTTTTGTATCAGAACACCATTAAAGGATTCTTTGCTTCCCTTATCTATCCAAACTCATGTCAGAAAGAGTAGCAATCCGTGTGGTGTGAAATGTAACATTTTACATGGCCGTGCTTGCATTTATATAAAAACCAAATACATTAAGGATGTATTCTTCTGACGTTTCAGTCTCGTTGAAATCTCGTTCTGGAATTATTTCCAAAACATGTGATACAAGTGGAAAATATCAATGAATTTAAAAAATGTTATAATCAAACTTAACTCTGTGAAAGAATTGTGTATTTACAATAAGTAGTTTTTGAGTAATAAATTTTTCAAATTTTATTACCAATCAAGTAAGTCTTTTTAGCCAAAATGTTGAGAAAATGGGTGAGGGGTACAAGAAAGGATTTTATCAGAAACCTCAAGACTGACTTCGTAAAGGAGGCTTATTTATCAATTAAAGATTTTAAGATAAGAAGAGCTATATGTAAATTGAGAATAAATGCACATGATCTTAAAATTGAGAAAGATAGATATAGTAAAAAATACAAAGAGAGAAGTCAGCGTCTATGTCATCACTGCCTATCACATGGATCAAATTCTATTGAAGATGAGACCCATTTCACAGTAAGTTGTCCTTTATATAACGAACAGAGAAAATTATTATGGGATAAAGTAAACAGTTTTTGTAATAATTTTAAAGAATTACCCAAGGATAAAAAATATTTCTGGCTGTTCACAAATGAGCATTTAGTTAGGATACTGTTGTCAGGTCATTAAAGATTGCATATTTTGGCGTTAATATTGATTCACTTATAGGGTCTTTGCATCGGCACTAAACACAATTATTTAAAAACCAGTTGTTGGCATGACACGGGTTATGTTCTTCTCATATATGTTATGATGGTATGATACTAAACCCCTAGCGGGAAGGATTGTGCCTGATATTCATATGATGAAGACATAATCTTTCAATCAGTTTAATTGAAGTCTGGAGCTGGCATGTATGTTAACTGCTAGTAGTCTGTTGTTATTTATGTATTATTGTCATTTTGTTTATTTTCTTTGGTTACATCTTCTGACATCAGACTCGGACTTCTCTTGGACTGAATTTTAATGTGCGTATTGTTATGCGTTTACTTTTCTACATTGGCTAGAGGTATGGGGGGAGGGTTGAGATCTCATAAACATGTTTAACCCCGCCGCATTTTTGCGCCTGTCCCAAGTCAGGAGCCTCTAGCCTTTGTTAGTCTTGTATTATTTTTAATTTTAGTTTCTTGTGTACAATTTGGAGTTTAGTATGGCGTTCATTATCACTGAACTAGTATACATATTTGTTTAGGGGCCAGCTGAAGGACGCCTCCGGGTGCGGGAATTTCTCGCTGCATTGAAGACCTGTTGGTGACCTTCTGCTGTTGTCTGTTCTATGGTCGGGTTGTTGTCTCTTTGACACATTTCCCATTTCCATTCTAAATTTTATTTACCAACTCTTATGTGCCAAGGCAATTATATAATTAAGTGTTTAGAAATAAGATCCAGGTGGATACAAAATATATAAAATAATATTTAATTATTATGAAATTATTGTTATAGTTATGTAAGACACATGATGTGTTAGGCTCTGATCCTGTCCATAATATGATAGTATTATATTAGGATCTAGTTTTTCTTTTTTCCAATCATATTGTGCTTAATATTGTTGTAAATGATGCCCTTTATAGGTTCTTGATTAGATTAATAAAATTCTTCTTCTGTACATCCCATATCCTTTTTTTCTTTTCAAATTTCTTAGATATGTATTTTTTCAATCATTTATAACAAAGAAGTTGAAATAATATGCATTTCGTTCTTAAAAAAGAGAAAAATCACAAATTTACAAAATTGACAGCATGGTAAATTTGACACGAAAAAGCATCAAAATATGATAAAACTTTCTTATATTAACACCTAGCTATAGTTTTTTTAAGTAAAATTTATTCAGATTGGTCCATTTCATCTTTATTGAAAGTATGAAAAAAAGTTTAATTGTGGAACTGTGATTTTTTTCACGATAATAGCCCAAAAATGGGTAAAAATTGATGAAAAATGGGAAAATCATCAAAATTAGGTACTTTCAACGGGCCGTAGCAAAAAAAAAGTGCACCACCATATGATTTTTTCTTCACCAATAATTTTTTTACAGTCATATAAACCCAAAAATCAGGTTAAGAAAAAAAGTTTAATTCTAGAAATTTTTGGCTCCTCAGAGGTGTACATCCTTAAGAAATACATAAAAATATATTTTCATTGGCCGGTGTCGTAATTCAATGATTACGGTTTATACGCAATCGCTAATGTAATGATAATTGAAATGTGGATAAACATACTATTATTATTAGTACGTACAAGTATCCAAACATTTCACCATAGGACCGTTAATGATTTCTGTGAAGAAGGGCGTTTAACAATCCTTGTATAAATAACATTTATTTTACTTGTCTGCTACTTGAACTTCTATTTAATGTTCAAATCTTTCTATAAACATAATGTCCAAGTACGTCATGCTACATATTTTTTTATTTATTTTGATAACGAATAAATAACAAGAAGAAATAAGCTTAAAACAAATCTGCATGGTATTCAAAATAAATACACACAACATCATATCTGCTGAGCTTCTAACCTTCATATGTTCTAGAAGAAGAATTATTTGGAGACTCTTTGATGTTTTATAAGTACAGTATGTTAACAGCAATACGTCGTTCAAATGAACATTGCATTGCAATTCTATGTGATGCATTAGTAAAATTTAAGCTGCAAACGTCTATCATTTGTAAAATGTATAAAGTACAGAAAATTAGAATGTACATATTTCCTTGCCTCAGTTGAATTTGTTACTAAACGGATTGACACCATTTATAAAGCCTGTAGTAATATAGAATGATATGATTAATTATTCATGATTCAATTTCCTTCAATGTCCTGTTTAATATGTTTTCAATATAAGTGGGAGACAACCCTATGGCTGAGCTGTTGTAATTACATCGTCAATAATTCTGTGGAGTTTGTTTCACAGCCTGATAATACTTTAAATTGGTACTTTTGAGGATAGGGCAACTCACTGATAAGTTTTTTAACATCTTAAAGTTCGTATTGATCATAATTTTTGCATTCCCTTTATTTCTATCATATACATTTTATTTTAAGTATTTGTTTTAAATTGTTAATTTTTTAGTAATGTATTAAAGTATTATTAAAAAAATAATCAGCCATTTCCTGCATTTCCTTATGTACATGTACGTTCTACAAATATCATTTATCGATGTTTTGGATTTAAAACATTAAATATTATACTTCAAAAATTATGATTCACTTAATTTCTTTAGATAGTCAAAATTTATTGAAATATTTTAATATTTAATTGTTTGAATATTTGAAGGAACTTATGTTCCCATTATTTAAGGTTACAAAATCTAGATATTTAATTACAGCTGTTATATGTTAATATAAAAAAGAAGATGTGGTATGATTGTCAATGAGACAACTCTCCACAAGAGACCAAATGAAGCTTTATACAGAAGCCATTTTAAGACTGATATAAAAAGCTTTAAAGAAATGATTTCGTTATTCAAAACCTAATTTAGACTTATAATAGTTGACAGATTACTATGTTGAACGCATCTATCCCATCGAACTTGAAATAAAGGATACAAAAGAAACAGTTAAGTCTGCCTCATATCTCGACTTACATCTAGAAATTGACAATGAAGGTCGGTTGAGAACAAAACTATACGGCACAAGAGATGATTTCAGCTTCCCAATTGTAAACATTCCATTTCTATGTAGCAACATTCCAGCAGCGCCTTCATATGAAGTATATATCTCCCAGTTGATACGATATTCCAGAGCTTGCATTTAATATCATGGTTTCCTTGGTAGAGGGTTGCTGCATGCTTACAGGGAAGCTATTAAACCAAGAGTTCCTAGTGATGAAGTTGAAGTAATCCCTTCAAACATTTGACGGACACCATCACGAGTTGGTTGACCGTTATGGAATATCTTGGTTTCCCAGTTGACGACGAATATGTTCCAATTATCGTAACCACAAAACCGTCCTCTTTTCATCGAATGTGACATACCGAATTAGACTTATCACCGGGTTTATATACTTAAATGAGCAACACAACGGGTGCCACATGTGGAGCATGATCTGCTTACCTTTCAGGAGCACCAGAAACCAACCCCGGTTTTCGGGGGAATCGTATTGATCAGTCTTTAGTTTTCTATGTTGTGTTTTGTATACTGTTTGTCTTTTGTATCGTTTTTGCCATGGCAATGCGAGTTATTTTTCAACTCATGAGTTTCAATATCCCTTTGGTATCCTTCGCCTCATTTTTACTATACGTTATGAGTTTTGCTCATTGTTCGTACGGTGACCTATAGTTTCTCTCATCTACTTCACTTGGTCTCTGATGAATAGTTGTGTCATTGGCAATCATACCACAGCTTCTTATTTTTACATGTATTCTAAATCTTAAAGTTATGATATAAAGCTCGACCTGACTATGGACCGAATATTTGCCACTGGACGTATATAGTATCAATGAGAACCTTGTATTTTACTGATTGGTATACATAACATTAATGATTCTGCATATTTTGTCAAGAATATAATAATAATATAAGAATTGAACCTAAGATAAGAGATGTTTAACCTTTTATGGTGCTAATAAGAAAATAAACAATGCACGTCAATTTTTCCCGTTTCCAAGACATTTAGCCAAGGTGGTATCAAAGTGTTAATTATATTTTCGCCTTTCGGTTGCTAACTTTGTCACTTTTACATTTATCGAAAACAATTATAAGGAGCATCCAATACCATAAATATTAAATGATCCTATATCCGCTAGAACAATATTTTCTTCATCTGAGCATCTGCCTAGAACATCTCACACGCAAATTTTGACATTTGAAGACAGTTTTAAGTTGTTATTTCAATTTTATTTTCGATTATCACGAATGCAGTGTAGTTCAAGTTCACATTTAATTATAAAATCAGGAACCTGTGATTATGGTAACTTCATAAATACTTCCGAAAAAATGACGATAAAATCTTCAAGTTCGAAGAAATCAACTTATCGACATATACCACATAGCGAAAAACCACCACATTTGGTGGCACGACGAAACGCACGTGAACGAAAACGCGTGCAGGCTGTTAACAGTGCTTTCCAAAAGCTGAGGAAACATGTTCCGTTCGAAAATAAGCAGAAAAGGTTGTCCAAAGTTAAAACATTACAGTTCGCTATCGATTATATATCGAATCTTCAAAATATGATCGAGGACCATGATAGAAAAATGGCGGGACATTACAACCACCGCATGACTTTGACGGAATTCCAGTCGAACAGGCAACCTGATCATGGCGCTAAAATGGGCAATGTCGGATATAACTGGCCTGATGAAGAGTCGTCAAATGAGGTAACATTTTTATATGATATAGTTTCGAAATTCTTATTACCACGAATGTAGGGGAAAAGACAGGCAAGTGAACATATTGTAGAATATTACCCAAAGTTATATAAACAAGCTGTATCAATTAAACTGGTGTATTAGATAAATCTGATGATTTTTTTCTTCAAATAATGCCTTATTAAACATTTGATTTAGCATTGTGTGTTAGTATAACAAGACATTTATTTTAAGACGTTCTAGTATGAAGGTGCTTAGAAAACCATTTAATAATGTTTATTCTCCTCAGATATCTCTGTATTAATCCTGAAATAAATTATATGAAGAAGACCGATGAAATTTAAGGGGGAGTGAGGATAAAAATTCAAAATCCAGCGACCAATATTCAAACGATGATTTCAGATTCCAGGCAGCTGTTTTTTTTTCAGTAGCTTTTTCATCAACAACTAGATAAATAAATAAATAAATAAATAAATAAATAAATAAATAAATAAATAAATAAATAAATAAATAAATAAATAAATAAATAAATAAATAGATAGTTCTTTGCATATCAATCATTTGTATTTCATTAATCATTTTACATTATTTTGTTTAATTACAGCACCACGTGACTGGGAATAATCCACAGCAATGTGCCGTCTGGCCTGAGTATGGAACACTCGGAATGAACGAAATAACATCACTTCCGAATGTGTAAACTCATTGGATTACAGAGCATAATCATTTGGATTTACAGACAGTCTACACCATGGTAATTTCAAATCGCATCATTTCATGAATTATGTAATTGTAATTGTTAAACTACGTTGTATCGTTTTCATGCTCTGACCTTGTGTGATTTCCTCTGACCTTGTGTGATTTCACTTGTTCAGTTTAGATATAGATATAAAGGTTTGCTGTTTGATTGCCAATAATACAACATTCTCCAGAAACAAGAAAGAAAACCAATACAATTTAACCTTTTTGTAAAAGTAAAAAAATATATCCAATATATTCACAAAAAAACAACAAATAAGTACCCCCCATTTACACGTAGGTACATAGGGGGAAATACATCATAAGACTACATGCTTCTCGACTGGGGTAGGGCCAATTTCTCCTTAATTTAGGCAGGGCAATTCGCAATACCATAGGTTCTAATGTGTACTTTAATGTTGAATATAACATTTGGTGTATTTCCGAACATGTTACCAAATTATTGTAAATGCATACAGATTGCTCAGAAGTGTAATTTTGCACTTTCGGTGTATTTATCCAATATTAAACATTAGAGGCATTTCATAAAATAAAAATGTGTTATCGGGTGTCAAGATGTATATTGTATTTATAAATTGAAAAGAAGGTAGTTTCTAGTATTCTTAAAATGACAAGAAAGTTGCAATAATAGAAAATACAAATTGACATGTATAGATCGTTTTAGAATATGAAATCATATTGATTTCCTCCTTTATTATATAAAAATTGTTGAAAAAAGTGACACATTATTTTCATTCAGAACAATGAAGAAACATAAAGCTACTTAGGTTTATGTCTCAATGTAAAATGTACTACTGTCTTTTTGTCTCTAGTATAAAAAGAAATTGAATTGTAGTATATGAAGTCAATTAGATGCGTTTATTTAATCAGATTTTCACTCTCATTTGTTTCAGATCTTTTTATGCATAATTTGAATTATGTAGTTCAAAAGTTCTGCATTTTGTATTCATATTAATTGACTTTTTAATTTTAAATGTCCGATTTCCAGTGGGGTGAGTAACACCACAAACTTAAAAAATAAAACACAAAATAAAACACCCCAAAAACAATATTGATAACGGTCTCCATGTGACTGTATCGGTTATCGCTGTCAAGTTTTTCATTTGAAAATATTTTTTTTATTTAAATTAACAATGCAATAAACATATAATTGAACAATTGCAAAAATGCTAGATTCTGAGAGGGAAATTAAAATTGTATTCAATTATCAATGTCCAGCATGTGGTTTGGTCAGATTTTTTTTTTAGCAATCGTATATTGTGCATTTAAATTGATAATTCAATGGGTAGCTCTAAAATACAGTTCAAAATTTTTAAAATAATTATCAGCGACTCTTTCAATAAAATCTTCCGAGTAAAAGTACTAGCCAGTAACATTTCAATTAATTTAATCGTAATATCGTCTGTGAAAATAATAGCAGGGTATGGAATATGATTTAACATTTTTTAATGAAAAACAATTATTGAATGGAATTAAGGCATGATATATAAAGGAAATCCAAATGATTCCTTTATTTCAATTCGATTGTTTTATGGCTGTCGATTAATATATATAATTTACTTTGAAAATTATTAACTAGCTGTTTGGCAATTTAACAATTTTTTTTTTAGATTTTTACCGTCACCACGATTTTCTCTTCGTATAATTTTAATTAATAAATATTTATTTATTTGGATCAGGAACATATATATTGACAAATTTGTTAAAATCGCAAGCATTTCATCACAGAATTGTGCAGAATGCAAACCAGGTAATAAAAAAATGGCGGCCATTGCCGCGATGATTTACAAATTCCCAAACTATTATAAAACACTTCACATCAAATAAATCAAACTTATTTTGGTAATTTTATATGACAAAATATATCTACTAAATGATAAAACTTGTATTTATTTACAATTAGAGTTATGTGGTTTATTTGTTGAGCAGTTCTGATAGTTTTTCTGTCAGACGCTACCAAAATCTGTAAATCTCGGGAGGTCTCGGGGAGTCCGAGATTTTATCAATTTTATACTGAAAAGCGTATCAGATTCATTTCCCGTTAGATATACTGTTCCCAGTTTGGATGTATCGATTTATGTAGATGCTGTTTAAAAAATAGTTTTATAGTATCAAATGTTAATGCAGTTGAAAAAAAAATGAATTTTAGTGCTGTTCAAGTTTTTTTGAAAGTTCTATTGCTTGTTTTCAGATTATACGTTTTAAATGTAGATCATCGATTGCATAGGCTGAGTAATGATCTATTGTTGATCAATATGTACACTATAATTAAATATTATTTTATTATTATTTATTTATTCTATCATGTTTGTCTGTATAAAAATAAGGACATGTGGTATGATTACAAATGAGACAGCTATCCACCAAATTTAAAATGAAGTGGATGTAAGCAATTATTGGCAACCATACGGCCTTCAACAACGAGAAAAACCCATACCGTGAAGTCGGCTACAAAAGGCCCCGACATGAAAAATATGAAACAAATGAATTGAGAAAACACACAGCCTAATTTATAACAAAACAATTTACGAAAAACAAATATGACAGACATGAACCAACGACAACCACTGAACTACAGGCTATTCAGTGTTAGATTTCCACATTGTATGTTCGATATATTTGAATGTTTGTGCACAAATTTGGGTTTAATATTTTAAAACGCTTAATTATACATTTGGAAAAATAAAACCTATTTGAAAATATATATTATGCTTTCTGAAAATAAAAACAAACAATTTGCAAATTTTCTCTTTTGAAAATAAACAAAACAAAAAATAAACAAAACAAAAAATAAAACAAAACAATTTGAATTTTTTACGAACTTGAAGCTTTTGAATATCAATAAACTCTATTGTATTTGATAAAAGTAAAAATCATAGAATATTTTCGTTAAAAAGTGATTAGTCAAAAAAGTTCCACTCTAGTAGCGTTTTACACATTCACATATTATTTTTCAAAAACAATTTTTAATAAAATAAAAAATAGTATACGCTATATTGCAAACAACTTCTTCCTTTTTTTCTAATCAAATTATAAATATTTCAAACATTTATCTTCCAAATAAAGTATAAATATCATGGTTTCAAATATAAAATAACTGCATAGTGAACATACTAATAAATATAAATGTGTTCTTTCTATACGTTTAAATATTGAATGTATATATTTTTTCAAACAAAGACACGTTTGTGCTACTATAGTACACATTTGTTATATAGAAATAAGAAGATGTGGTATGAGTGCCAATGAGACAACTCTCCACCCAAGTCACAATTTGTAAAAAGTAAACAATTATAGGTCAAAGTACGGTTTTCAACACGGAGCCTTGGCTCACACCGAACAGCAAGCTATAAAGGGCCCCAAAATGACTAGTGTAAAACAATTCAAACAGGAAAACCAACGGTCTAATCTATATAAAAAACGAGAAACGAGAAACACTTATGAACCACATCAACAAACGACAACCACTGAACAACAGGTTCCTGACTTAGGACAGGTGCAAACAAATGCAGCGGGTTTAAACGTTTTAACAGGCGCTAACCTTCACTCTAACCTGAAATAGTAGTGTAACATTACAACATAGAATGATACACTATAAAATATCAATCGAAATGGCTTAACTCGGGGGTGTGGGAATGCTATGTCCGACTTGCCCGATTCGTACATTTGAACAACCGGACAAGTACTTTTTTATCTAGGTTGCCCGTGGACAAGTAAATAAAAACACTTGACAAAATTCAATTCATTAAAAACAAACACAAATGTATAGAAGTATTTTCACATTGAACTTATTAAGATATACTACTTTATGTAAAACAAAACAATGATCAACACGTGAAAAACATAAGTCAGAACATCAATGTTCAAGACCACAAGTATTAAAAAACCGGGAAAAAGATCATAACTAAAATAAAAATAATAAGTATGCGAATCCCTGTCTCATAAACATTGCGTTATTTTTCTCCATTTACTCTGGATCTTCGATTATATTTTATCTGCCATCTAACAAAAGTGTTATTTCAATTTTTTCATGATTAAGTTAATCCAGATGGATAAATACCTGATATATTTATATTTCGATACATACAGTTTTAAGAATCATACAGGCTTACAGTTAAATATCCAATATTCATTGGGAACTTCGGGGCAAGAAACTTTTTTTCCTGACATAAAACTTGCAGCTTAACTTGCAAAACTTGCAGCTTAACTTGCCCAGGGACAAGTGCTAACAACAAATATTTCCACACTCCTGGCTTAACTCAATTAAAAAGAAATTAACAAGTTAACATACACTGAACGAATAAATTTGAGCTATGACACAATATAAATACAATGTTAAAATAAAAAAAGGGGAGATGTAAAACAATGTCAAAAAGACATGCCTTTTTGGGCATAAATTGCAAATTTCTGCAGATATCAGAATACATTTTTGATTAAAAAAAAGTGTGCATCATAAATTCGTTCCATTATAATGATATAATGAGTTACAATAAAAAAAAATAAAAGAATATTTCTCTAGTCAAATGAAATTATGATTTTATTCTTAGGGCTGTCACTTGAGGTGATGAAATTGTCTTTAAATATAGAATTTGTTATATTGTGCTTGTTAATGTTTATGAAATAAATCTTAAAGTTAAAATTGTTTCTTTGTTTCTTTGGTAAACAAATCTTCATCGGTTGATCTCTTGCTTGATCCACCATCAAATATACAAATACGAATCTAGACATCTCAGATCTGCAAAATATAAACAGACTGATACATGTAGATACTGTATAGTAAGATAAAATTGATAATGGAAATGGGAAATGTGTCAAAGAGACAACAATCCGACCAAAGAGCAGAAAACAGCCCAAGTCCACCAATGGGTCTTCAACACAGCGAGAAAATCCCGCAACCAGAGGCGGGCTTCACCTGTCCCTCAAACAAAAATGTGTACTAGTTCAGTGAAAATGGACGTCACACTAAACTCTGAAACATATAAATGAAATAAAATTAAAAAAAAATCATACAAGACTAACAAAGGCCAGAGGTTCCTGACTTGCGACAGGCGCAAAAATGCGGCGGGGTTAAACATGTTTTGTCAGATCTCAACCCTCCCCTTATACCTCTAGCCAATGTGGAATAAACAAACACACAGCGATACGCACAGTAAAACTCAGTTCAAAAGATGTCCTAGTCCGATGTCAGAATAGGTAACAGAAGAAACTAAGCAAAATGACAATGATACATAAATTAACAAAGGACTACTAGCAGTTACTGACATGCCAGCTCCAACCTCAATTAAACTGATTGAAAGATTATGTCTTCATCATAAGAAAATCAAGCACAATCTCTCCCGTTGGAGTTTTAGTATCATACCATCATAAAATATATGAGAACATAACCCGTATCATGCCAACATCTGCTTTTAGAATAAATGTGTTTATTTCAGATGCAAAGACCCTATGAGTGAATCCATATTAATTCCAAAATATGCCATCTTTAATGACCGGACAACAGTATCGTAACTTTATCCCTTCTGAATTGTTTAAAGGTTTGGTTAGCTTTTGAGGTGAATGACGAAATTTTTGTGCTTTGTATAGAATATTACCATAAAATATTGGATGTGGAATACCTGAACGTATATATTGATTTATATTTACGAATGATGTCCTTGTACCGATGATAAAATTTAGTAAATGTTTTGACTAGTTTGTGATAACGAAAACCCTGGTGCCATAATTTTTCAGTAATACAGAGATTTCTTCCGTTAAAATCAAATACGTTGTTACATACACGAGCGAATCGAACAAGTTGAGATATATAAACACCATAAGATGGTGGCACGGGAACGTCACTATCTAAAAATGGATAGTTAACAATAGGAAATGAAAAATCATCTCTTTTATCGTAAATTTTGGTATTAAGCTTCCCGTTAAAGATACAGATATCAAGATCCAGGAAAGGGCAGTGTTCATTGTTATTATTAGCTTTTTTTAAAGTCAGTTCAGCAGGATAAATCTCTTTAGTGTGCATACTGAAGTCGTCATTATTGAGAGCCAATATATCATCCAAATATCTAAAAGTGTTATTAAATTTTTGTATCAGATGTTGTTTCGATGGGTCTTTGCTTATTTTAGTCATAAATTGTAACTCATAACAATACAGAAACAGGTCTGCAATAAGTGGTGCACAGTTAGTCCCCATTGGAATTCATATATTCCCTTATTTTGTGAATTACTACATGGATTTATTCTCAAAGTTATCAAAGTTAATCGTATTTCAGAGAGAATTAACTCAAACTCATAAAACTCATCAAAAGTTTTGTGTAACGACAAAGTCCTGTTATTGGAAAATACCATGTTAAAAGGGAATCGAAAGGAACTCTCAATCAATTTATCTGCCATGATTATCATACGTATATATTACGCCTGTATGTACGTCTGTGTGGTTTTTATATGAATGCGGGAGTGTGTGTGTGTGTGTGCAGCGGCCATAATCACACAGTTATATTATGTTCAAATGAAGTGGATGTAAACAATTATAGGCAACCGTACGGCCTTCAACAATGATTATCTTATAACAAAATGTATCCTCCGAATTTTGTAAAATAGTTAATACAAGTGTTTCTGTACATATGGATTAATCTATAACCAATATATACCTTTCTGGGGAACCTAATTATAACTGCCGACAATAGTCGAAGTTCATATTTCCCTAATATTGTGGATTAATCTGTATTTCCATGTTTGTCAACACATATTCTCGATTCGTTTGATTTCTTCTGGATTCCGATTCCTGTCAACGTTTGCTTTTTAAATCATGATAACTAAATGGATACTATCACGTAGTAATGAACACATCTAAAGCTTTCCGAAAATGGGCCTGATGTATGGATTTTGTTTGTATTAAGTTTTGGTGAAGCATTTTGAACGCGAGTATCACTGAAGATAAATACTTGTCGAAATGCTAATGTCATTATCAAAACGAACCAAAACTGATGACCTAGTTCTACTGATAGTGCAACAGAAATAGTGACTATCCTTATCTTCATAATTCTAACCATTTATTTGACGGTAAAGGTCAGCTCCAGGATTATAACAATGAAGGGAGTTTTTGTTGGTTTCTTTTGCCTAATCGTGTATTTTGGTAAGTTTAAAGTATCATCTTTAAAAAAGACGAAAACATTTACATCTTGTATCCTCCAAGACCTAAGCACTTAGCTTGACCAGAAATTGACTCTTTCTAAATACTCAAACATGATTATCCTTTTGATATCCTTCTTTTTTGGTGTTTTTTGTTAACGTCTGGGAGAGCATGATTTATGTATTAGTTGTGATTGGATATTGAACTAGCTTTCAGTTACTCCAAGTACTCTTATTTCGGTACTCTGTGTCTATTGTTTTTATGTTAATTTTTTTGTGCCGCGTAACGATCTTTTGAGTTAAGTAAATTGCTAAGCTACTGATTTTTATAGTTTGTTATTATGTTGTGCTGTTATACCACTGTCCCAGGATAGTTGAACACTTACAAACATGCTTAACCCCGCCACATTATTTATGTGCCTGTCTCAAGTCAGAAGCCTGTAGTTCAATGGTTGTCGTTGGTTCATGTATGTTATATTTGTTTTTTGTAAATTGTTTTGTTATAAATTAGGCCGTTAGTTTTCTCGTTTGAATTGTTTCACATTTTTCATATCGGGGCCTTTTATAGCCGACTATACGGTATGGTTTTTTTTTGTATTGCTGAAGGCCGTTCTGTTGCATATAGAATGTAATTGCTTATATCCACTTAAATAGTTGTCTCACTGGCAATCATGCCACATCTCCTTATTTTTATATTGATGTAAATATGTGGAACTTTTTCGCAGATGCATGATAATGGTAGTTTAAAGATTATTTCACCTTTCAGTTCTTTTCACATTTGTCGTCCCATTTTATTATGGAGCACAAAGAGTAAGAAACTTAATATAAACTAATGTGTAAGTATGCTTTATTGACTTCTTATGAGAATTTACTTCAATGATTAAAATCATCCTTTCCATCATTTCTAGATATTCATCTGTTATTAGGACAACATTTGTACTGTTGTCTTGTAATTGTCTGTTAAAAGGACATTTCTATATTTTATTTTGTTAAACGGAAATTTAAAACAACACACGAAACATATCATAACAACGATTAATCAAATAATCCGATTTGCGTTCACAAGAAAATAACTCCTGTAACCAGACGTAAACAATGTCCTAGCGGGAAACCGATTAGTCGAGTATCATATTGATATTCGATACTATTTAACGATACTCTAGTATTCGAGTACTCGTCGACATCCATAATTGATTTTTTTAATGAAAAGGGATAATTGGGGTCGTCGAAAATACCACACAGTACAACAGATTACATGAAACACCAATACCCGACACCTCCGAAATAAAAATCATAGGCATACAAACAAAGAAAAACAACAACAAAACAAATGATCCAAATAGCCTGACTTACCATTGGCACACATTATGATGGGTTAAACCTTGTTTTACGTGCGTATACTACCCCTACCCTTTTTTGCCTATATAGAATATATGTCGTAAAACTAAAACGCACAATAAAAACATTTATTAATTAACTACTCTGTTATTGGACTTAATATGATGAAAACTGCCTATGCAATATAAAAGCGTCAACTCGGCCAATACAGAATAACTCGGCCAATATTGATTTTTTTCTGTATTGGCCGAGTTCTGATCCGGCCAATACAGGATTTCGGAACGTCTCTAGTTTTTAGATCGAAAGTCATGATAAACACAAACTGAAAGTAAACAGTCGTTTAGGAAGACGCAGTTTTCATTTACTCACCATAAACATGCCGAAACGTTCAGTGTGGCATATATTTCAGGCTGAAGACGGTAACATTCATTTGAAAAGCATTTTGTAAGAAGACAATTGAATTATTTCAGGTTTGGGCAACGAGCAGTTTATCACAAAGTTCATTTCTTGTCGACCTCAGGTACAACCGATTTACTGTTTACTTTCGCTTCTCATGTTTTGTAAACTGTCATTTATTTTTCAACCCGAACCAGGCATATGCATTGTGGAAGGGTGACCTGTAATTGTTCAAATGTTTGGTCAGTTGCCTTATGGATAGTAGTATCATTTTCAATCATATTCAACTCCTACATTTTTTTTTAAATAATTTGTTTCTGCATTACACATGCAATGGCAGTACCTTTCCAATTACTATTTATGTGTTGCGTCTAAATATGAACTGTAACACTTTATAGTGACTGGTAAGGGTAGAAAAATTCATCAGATGAGAAAATGTAGAAGATGCCTGGAAACAGCACCAGATCATTTGATATTGCAGCTTATAAACATGATAAATGGGAACTCAGATTTGGATAGTTCCACTTCAAGGTAAAAAATGTTTATCTCTTGTGGTATATAAAACAATGTTAACACTGTAGTTAATTAATAAAGGTATCATTACGTGTATTTCTGTATTGGCCTTGTTATTGGTCCTTGCCCAGCTGTATTGGCCTTCGGCTTTGCCTCAGGCCAATACAGCAAGCCTCGGACCAATAACAAGGCCAATACAGAAATACTCACGTAATAATACCATAGAACAGTGCAACTACCAACAGTTTTACCGCTAACATGAACAAGGAGAAAACCGGCGTATAATTTGGAATGAAGGGTCGTTATAATGAGCTCCTTTCTACGTATACAAGAAGCTAGCTAAGATATAAAGGTGTTAGTTATTTTTACTGTTGTCGAAGTTTTTGTCTGTTATGAGGATAACAACCTATTTCTACATGCACTGTTGTCTAGGTATTTTTAATAATGTCAAGGTTTTCGTATAATTTAAGGATAATTTTTTTTTGTACTGTTGTTTAGTGATATGTCTGTTATATGGATAATATATTATTGAATCAGATAGTAATATGGATATTTGTCTATTAAAAGGATACATGTTATTTGTACTTTTATAATTATGTATACCTCTGTAACTTTGGTAACATTTTATTTGTACTGTTGTATAGGTATCTGCAGTGCTAAGGACTGCACCGGTAATAGCGACTGTATAAATTCGTGTACAAATGACTACCATGAACAGTGTGTAAGTGGCATGTGTCAGTGCCCCGATCGTAAGTGTTTATAATGTAATAAGTTTTAGTCTATTCTTAAACTATTTATTGCTTTTTAAGGGTTTTGTCACTTCTTAAATTATTGATTGCTTGATAAGGGTGTTATCATTTCTTACGTTTTTCAGATCTTGCGAGGTTCACTGATCGTAAATTTAAAATGTTGACATTAAATGAATAAAGCAGTAAACGGGGTAAAGTGTTTAAATCTGTTACTCTAACATTTCTAATGATTTAATGTAAAATGTCGAGCGCAAAATTCCGAATGGACATAGCTGGAAATTGTCAGAGACAAATCTTATTCGATAACATCAATAGGCAAATGTTAACTCGCCCCCTTTCAACCCATTTGATATCTTTCTTGTTTATATTAAATCTTTATTTCAAACATCATCACTTCTGGAATGCTTTCAAAATATCAAAAGAAAACGGGTCACCGTTCGTTCTTTCCTGCTATAATGTGAAATTTCCTGTAGATTCCTTTATCAATTATACAATGCTATGTTAAATCCCCTTACAACACCAAATTAGAAATAATTGAAATAAAGCAAAAATATTCTACCTTTGTAACCATAATTGATAAAATCACATAAACTTGTTCATTTGAATAAATATTCGTATTAGTTAATTGAATTCCTGCATTGAAATTTGCGAAGTTAAATGAAAATCTAGACATTCAGTGGTTGTCGTTTGTTGGTGTTGTTCATCAGTGTTTCTCGTTTCTCTTTTTTTATATAATTTAGACCGTTGGTTTTCCTGTTTGAATCGTTTTACACTAGTCTTTTTGGGGCCCTTTATAGCTTGATGTTCGGTGTGAGCCAAGGCTCCTTGTTGAAGACCGTACTTTGACCTATAATGGTTTACTTTTATAAATTGTGACTTGGATGGATAGTTGTGTCATTGGCACTCATACCACATCTTCTTATTTATATTGTGTTCTGCTATATTAGTACAATTCAAGATGTCAGAAGACTCACATACTGCCGATAACACAATTGCCGCCCTTTGATTATGGTAGAAATATACATGTAGTCCCTATTGTGGACCGTGTATTAAATGGAAATATTTTCCTACACACTCCAAATGTTTTATGTCTCACATAGTAGGGGGGTGGGGAGGAGGGTGACATAACACTTTAAATAAAATTTGGTCATGAATTTTCAGTTTAGTAGTAATTTTGTTTAGTAGAAAAAGGACAAAAATTTCTGAAGCTGTCAAACTTAATTCAAGACCCCCGTAACATAAAAGTGTCTATACTTTAAGTTAGAGCTGGTGAAGTTTTCTATAATTTTGATATTATTTGTCCCAAGAGTAGTACACCATCTGTAAAACTAGTTTTGAGAAAGCGTTTTTCTTTTTATTTCAATTTATTGTTCTAAAGAAATGCACTGCAAATTAATTGTGTTATCGGGCCTACTACCGTAAGTCAAAGTAACAACATAGATGGTGCATTCTGGGAAAACAGTGCACTTTCAGAAAACAATGCTACTGGTTTGAACTTTCCAGGTTTAAATAGACTCATAGCCACATTGACAAATATATGAAAAGTGATAAGTCATATCTTGCAGTTACAATAGCTAAAAATCGGAAAACTGACAAAAACTACAATTATTTTCAGATACATGTACCACAACAGCAGACTGTCCGACTGGCAATGAATCCGGCTGCCCTCCTGGTGAAGCAAAATGTTCTAATGGAAAATGTCAGTGTACCAATTAATAACAGTACATTTTGTAAACGCATTGATATTTTGTCTGATTTATCAATAAAATATTACACTTTATACAACAAAATATTTAAAAATAAATACTCATTGACGAGAATTTGAATTGTACTGATTCCCATATTGTATAAATTATCGAAAAGTCACTTTGTGGACAAGTATATGTCGGTAAAAGACTACATGAAATAATAAATGATCACCGGTCCAACGAATATATTAAAAAAAAATAACTTTCACTTTAAACATTTCAACCCTCTCCATTTCAACCATTCAGGCAATTACATTGTTTCTATGAAAGTCAGGATAATAGAAAAAAATGTTAAATCCATAACACCATAACGTTTTCAAAGAGGAAATTTGGGATTCGATTATTAGTAATTAGAATTGAGAATGGAAACGGGAAATGTGTCAAAGAGACAACAACCAGACCAAAGAGCAGACAACAGCCCCAGGCCACCTATGTGTCTCCAACGAAGCTAGAATATCCTGCACCCGGAGGCGGGCTTCAGCTGGCCTCTAAACAATAATGTATACGTATACTATATCAGCGAAATGGACGCAAGTAAAAATATTTTAACGGTATTGGGTAAAATTATAGTGCCTGCTCATTTAACCGGTTCTGATTCGGATTTGCCAGTATGCACTATATAGGATACACGACATTGACATTTCATATGTTGATAGGGTTGACAGGTTGATAGGGTTGACAGGGTTGACAAGGTCGACAGGGTTTTCATGGATGATAGAGGTTTTTAAGGTCGACAGGTTGACAGGACCAACAAATAGGAAGGGTCGACAGGTTTTTCAATATTAATGTAAATTATAACATTTCATTGTTGGTATAATTGTCAACCCAGTCAACCCAGTCAATCTTGTCAACCTGTCGACCCAGTCAATCCTGTTGAATCAGTCAATCCGATCAACCTGTCGACCTAATCAACCCGTACAACATGTCGACCTTGTCAACCCAGCCAACCATCCGATCTTTGTATACACAAGGCCCAGCTCCATGTATATATATTCTATAATATTCCTTTAAGATGATTGGCGTATAGTAAACCAATTTGATAACCCAGAAATATTTTTCCCTATACTCCACTTGAGCCGGTATTTGTTAAATCCTAGATGTTGTTAGATATTAACGAATTAGAATTGTTTAACACCTCTGAACGCCTCACTTATATGAGTCGCGGCCCACTCAACTACACAACACCTCAAATTCATACTATGTTTTTGACCATCTGTTACGAAAAATATATTCATTGTCCAAACCCTTTTGGAATTCATTACATTCGTACTTAACTATTCCCATACTTTTATCCTAGCTCAAACACTCTTTCAAGGGACAAAAACACTCCCATTATTGATACCGTGGTCTTTTGCAATACTCATGGATATTGTTAATCACGAGCTATTTAAGTTATATGATAAGTGATTAAATAAGGTTCGCCATTTATGCAATTCAGGACTATGACACTACATGGATAAAGTTCGAATCAAACAAACACAATACAAAGTAAAATAACAAAAATACCTAACTCCAAGGAAAATTCAAAACGGAAAGTCCCTTTTATAGCTAGATAAACCTCTTGTATGACAGTCGCATAGAATTCCATTATATTGACAACGATTTGTGAGCAAAACAAACAGACATAAAAGTAAAAATGTAAAAAAAAAAATTGGGTACAGCAGTCAACATTATGTTATAATCTTGATCGCTATAAAACAATCAACTATGTCAGCAAAGCAAAACAAAATGGCATATAGACACTCTATAGACAAAGCACATAAGCAAAAATGAACGACAACAATACAAAAAATGACCATAGCACAATAACACAGCGGGATGTATAAATACCGAACCACACCAAAAGGATATTACCATAAATGGACTAAATTAACAGTAAAGGTTAAAAAAAATATAAAGACAACTTAAAAGAACACTATAACTCGTAATTAAGATGATAAACAGTAAAGGTTACAAATATATAAAGACAACTAAAAAGAACACTTTAACTCGTAATTAAGATGATAAACAACGTCAGAACCTAGAATCTATCAAACCTGCAAGGTCTGATTCATATCTTGATAATACTTGAAATTGACACATATAGACGACGTCAAACTATGGTATATAAAAAGGGGATTGATTTCCCATTTCCCCGAATTATAACACACCTTCTCAACTGATATGTTACGCGCGTCCATTTTCACATTAAACAGACGTAATGAACAAGAGCGTGCGCCTAAAGCTAAACTCCTCCAGCAGGTTAAAAGGAAGATCGACTGAAATCGATTACTGATGTTTTACGATTTATTTGACTGGTACGATAAGTATGTGTCTTTTGCGTTCTGAGATTTAAAGACTCCCGAAAAGTAGTCTGATCTGTAAATTAACCGATTTTAAATTGGACAATTCGAATTTTTTAATATGCGATTGGAATTTTTGCAATTGTCATAGAAGTCAGAGACAAACATGAATTACGCAAAACTCATATAACCGTATATTTTTAGAATTGTTATGACCTTAACTTTGACATGAAACATTGATATTAAAAAATATTTGATTCTAATTTTGGTAAGTTTTTTGTGTTTCTGAGAAGATTAATGGTTCGGAAAAAACACCTAATGCAACTATATATTTTGGAAATGTTATAACCTACATTTTTTAGATGGAACAAATGAATTCCAAGATAATGTAATTCAATCGTTGGTAATTCTATGAAAAACTTTTATCTGTATCGGTTCTTATAAATCCTTGACTTTCAAATTTTCGGCTATGAACGTTTTTGATAAAGGTAAATCCAGAAAATTGCATCGGGCGCATGTAATCTATAACGTGTTGTTTCTAGTTTTTAGACCCCAAATTCTTTTTAAACATACCAAGCAAAGGTATGTTTTGGGAAAACTTATACCTATTGCTTTTATATTGAACTATTGGAATTCATAGGAATTATTGTCAATTGCTGCAAATTCACAGAAGTCTGCTAGAACAATAGTAATTGACAAAAGTATCTAGCAACTGTAGATCTTTTCTTAAATTTAGTATACTTTGACAAGATATAATTGAATCTCAAAGGAATGGATGAAATTTCCTGAAAGACTATCAGACCAACAATTTTTGAAGGAAGATGGGTAACAAGTAATTATACTTTTAAAACATATTGACCCATGCATTGGTATGGAACAATTGAATAATTTAAAAATTTTGGTAAATTTCTAGAAGCATATTAGAAAAATAACTACTTGCATACACACCTAGTATTCACACATTTTTGTAAATATTACGACCTAAATTTTTTTATACGGAAGATTGGATATCGAAAGGATGCGAACAGACTTGCTTCTGATTCCATTCTAATCCTGTTTAATTTTTTCGAAGGATTACCATTCGTGCCTAATCTATAGAACAACTCACAACTTAACAATGTTTTCTATGTAAGCCAAATTCAAAGAATATTCAAAAATGAGACGATCACAATGAAAAATAGCAAAATAAAACAGAAAATAAACAAAAACGTATAACAATAGTCTTAGATACTTGTATTTTTTAGTTATAATTGGCTTTGAATTAGCTTTCATTAACTGCGAGTACTATCAGGTCTGCACTTTGTGTCTTTTGTGTTTTTGTTAGTTTTTTAGCGTTTGACCTTCTTCCTTCAGGAACGTTCAATCAATAACATTTGAAAGTCAGAAATGTATAAACAAGTACAAATATAAGGAGCTAAATGATCAATGGGAACCCACAAAGAATAGCCAAATTCATCTAAAGTAAACTTACACATTGTGGATATGTTTTACAGGTTCTTCCGCTAAGACGAGACCGTCGGTGCATTTTACTCATTATCTAGGTGCTTTTAAATAAAATGATCAGTTTAAAAGAAGTTAAATTTTAATTACATGACGACATAATTTCTTTTATAAGAAGTTAGATTTTAATTACATGACGACACTCTTCCAGATTTATTTCGATGAAAGACAGTATGATAGTCCTTTTTTTCAGAAAATTCGATAACCTCTTGGTGTTTGAACGATGATGAAGTCGCTGTCATAACATGGTTATAGGGATCATATCGAACTTCGATGTAACACATTTTCATGATGAAGGAGCATTACTTTTTATATTGATGTCTGATGTCACTGACGTCTGATGAAAAATTAAGTTACTACTGGGTTATATACGTGAATGAAACAATAGGTGGTGTTATGATTTCAAAATAAGGCGGTATAAAATTGTTAACGGTGGGCTCACTTAATATAATAGATAAGTTGGTAATATTAATTCCTCTATTAATATTTTCAATTTTAAGAAAATGCCTTTCAGGATTTACAGTTTTATCAATACCCGTATAAAGCCTATGATGACGAAAACCTGTATTGATACGGGTATACTCAGATAGTGGATTGAAAAACGATGTTGAAACATTTAAACACTTACAATTTCTGCATTCGTTTAATGTAGGACGGACCGGAAATGTAACGATAAACTTCAAATCCAAATTATTCAGATTATCCTGATTGTTTCTTAGGATTTTGAGTGACTGAATTTTATTTGTGAGACGTTGGATATTATTTCCTAAATGCTGGTAAATATTTTTTTTAAATTATTATTAGATATGCGGTATCTATAAAGAAGAGGTATACCCATCATAATTAATAAATTGTTTGTTCACTGCAAACTCATAGTGCAATAATAATAAGTTTCTATACATGTACACATCAAATTTAACAACCTGTAATAACCATCTTGTACAGGTTTCCAGATCCATGTGACCATCGCGGTTCGGAGTACCATCGTGGTTCAGATTCCTACATATATATTTAGCAAATACTTACAACTTCTCGTCCGATCAAATTGCTTGAATTTGACTTCTAAGTTTTATAGTACATACTTCTTCCGTGTACTAAGTAACGATGCATGTATGACGATAAGGATAAGATGTCATTGTACCGTAATCAAGATTTTAAAACCCAAAAATTACCATTGACTATATTGGAATAAAATGCTGTGTTCCAAAATAATGTCTGTATTTAGTTCTTACATTGATTTGTAAATTTA